CCCCGGCTCCGGCTCCGGCGTCGCGCCCCGCCCCGTGAGGGTGTCCTAGCCGCGCCCCAGCCGCCCGCCCCGCCCCGCCCCGCCCCGCCTTCGCCTTCGCCTCTCCCTGGGCCCGCACCCCGTGTCTCCAGGGTGGAGACCCAGGCGGCCGAAGTGGGAGGAATGTGCTGGAAGGAGGCGACCGCGAAGCAGTGAGGCGGTGCTGAAGGGACAGTTCCCGCCCAGAACCTTCCGCCCCTGACCCAGGTAGCCCGGCCACGAGGCCACGAACTCCAGCCCCGGAGCTCGGGAGCCGGGCGGGCGCGAGCGGGATGTGAGCCATGGAGGCCATCTGGATCTACCAGTTCCGGCTGATCGTGATCGGCGACTCCACGGTGGGCAAGTCCTGCCTCCTGCACCGCTTCACGCAGGGCCGCTTCCCGGGGATGCTGTCCCCAGCCTGCGACCCCACAGTTGGAGTGGACTTCTTCTCCCGCCTGCTGGAGATCGAGCCCGGCAAGAGGATCAAACTGCAGCTATGGGACACGGCCGGGCAGGAGAGGTTCAGGTACCCGCCCGTGACAACCTCCCGGGCTGACCCGGCCCCCGGCCGCCCCTCTTCCGCTTTCCCAGTCTGCCCCTGCCAACCTGCCCGGCCCGGCCCTGCCCATGCTCCGGCCATCCAAAGGCTTCTTCCTCTTTTCCCGGTTCTCACTTCCCTCTCCTGTGTCCTTGCCTTTGCAAATGCGACCCGCCCCCAGGTTCACTTTTTTCCAGATACACCCTCCTCCACTCCCCACCACGCACCTCCCACCCCCAGACGCACTTCTTCCCGTCTCTCACTTTGCTCTCCCACCTCCCCACCCCAACGCCAGCACTGTTGTCCACGAGCCCCGGCTCCCACTTGCCCTTTGTGACCCTTCATCCCCTGTCCCCCTTTTCTTTCTCCCATATTGCCATACCCCATGACTCATCTGTCCTTCTCCTTCATAGACATCATAGTTAGGTTTTGTGGAGCCCAGTCCCTTGAGTATAGTAGGCTTTTAATAATCATTTGTCAGATTTACAGCAAAAGCTGTTCCAACCCAGTTTGGTTGTATGAGATCATTGAGCACCGTCAGGAGGGAGATGAATGGGATGATGATTACTGGAGCCACGCAGTACTTCAGAAGGTGGTGTGCTGTGGTGTCAGAGGACAAAAGTGGGTTCAAATCCTTCCTCAGGATATGTGTCACATACGTGTCACATTTGTAACCTTGGGTAATTCGCTTAATTTCCCTGGGTCTTAGTTTTGTCATCTGTGAGATGAGGGGTTTGGGACCAGATGGCTTCTTGAGGTCCCTACCAGCTCTAGATCTGTAATCCTGTTGTGGCTACGGGTAGAGATTTGAGTGCCTCTTCCTCAAAATTGGACAAAACATGAGGGGCAGAACAGCATAGCCAAGGGTTTTTTAAAGGGGTAAATTCCCTTCACAAGTTTTCAAGCACTGAGGTGAGGTTCTGTTTAGGGAAGGGTGCCATCCAGAAATCTCAGGAGTTGTTTTGTTTTACCTGTATTGCATGTTTCGTATTTAATTTTCTTGGGTAAATGGCAGCGTGTTAAAACTGCATCCTCACTTAATATTATGTAAAAGGAAGGATGACAAAAAAACCTGATTTTTCATACTTAGAATGAAAGATTTAAAAAATAATAGCCAACATTAATATAGCACTTACTATGTGCTAGGCACTGTGCTAAACACTTTACAATTATTATCTCATTTGATCCTCAGGTAGGTACTATTATTCTCATTTTACAGATATTTACATATCATAAAACTGAGGCAAACAAGGGTTGAGTGATTTGCCCAGGGTCACACAGCTAAAATTCTCAGGAATAAGCAACATTTTATTTCTTATCTAAATATTACAAAATAATAAGATTTTAGAACCAGAAGAGACTTTAGAGTTGGTCCAATCTAACTTCTTGCTTTATGCACATGGTTTAGAAAGGTTAAGTGTGTTGGTGAGGGTTACAGCTAGTTAGGGCAGGTAGGTAGAGCAAAGAAGTCAGAACTCAGGAAAACCCGAGTTGAAATCTGCCCTCAGTCGCTTACTAACCATGTGAGTGACCCAGCAAGTTACTTAACCCTGTTTACCTCAGTTGCCTCATCTGTAAAATGAGCTGGGAAAAGAAATGGCAAACCACTCCGAGAGTCTTTGCCAAGTCCAGAAGAGTTAGACACTACATTACTGAACAACAGCTACTTAGGCAGAATTATAAACCAAGTCTCCAAACCAATGAAGCAGCGCATCACCAAACATTTTTCATATGCCTAAAACAAGCCACTAGTTCTAGGATTCACTAAAAGTCCATAATGGGTAGGGGGATGCTTATAAGGGAGAGATACCTTAATGTTGCTTTTCATAAATTTACTTCTTTAATGCCAGAAATTCCATTCATTGTGGCAGAAGTGCAGCACAGTATGGTGGAAAGGGTGGTATATGTGCAGTATGACATCTTGGCTTTGAATCCTAGTTCTGCTACTTAATGCTTGTATGACCTAGGGAAGTTATTTTAGCCTATGTGGGTCTTAGTTTCCTCATCTATGTAATGAGTGGGTTGGACTAAACAATTTATAAAATTGCTTGCATCTTGAATATTCTTTATTACATTGAAGGTTCAAAACCTCTGGTAGAGAGCAACAAACTAAAAAGTGCCATTTTCTAAGCCTGCTTAGGGCTTTCTCCAAATCCATTGTTCTTTGCATTATACTATTCTACCACTTTAAACAAATGGACCAACATTTTTAACATTATTAGGGTAAGGGCTATTTTTGGGGAGAAGGAAATGAGGAGGAGAAATGACTGGAAAGTTTGGAAAAAGGAAAGATAAGCTTCACTGATTGAGTTCATACAAACAGGTACTTTGTTATGTGTACCATATATTCAACAACACGACAGAGTCGTAGGAGTGGAATTTTCCAGTGATGTCTTTTTTTTTTAACCTCCCTCTCAGCAGACTGTCATCCTCTATGGAGTTTTAAATGATGTCTTTTATTTTTTTAACCTCTCCCTACACTGTCATCCTCTGTGGATGACATCAGCTTCCATATGAGCACACTAGGTAATGATTCAAGGTCTTGCTGTATATTCTCAGTTCTGAGGCTGAAATGTAGAATATATACATTACTCTCTGTTCATACACTCTGCACAGTAGCCAAATTGGCCTACTTGCTGCTTCCCAAAGTTTGGATTTCATCTCTCCCTTCCATGCCTTTGCATAGACTGTCCCATCCCTAGAGTGCGCTCTCTCCTCATTTCAGCCTCTTAGAATCCTTAGTTTCTAATAGCGGTTAGCTCAGGTACTCCAACCTATGGGATTCCTTTCTTGATTCTCTGCCTCCCAACCTCACCACCACCCTCATGCTCTCTCCCTCTTCACACTCCTCATATTTTGTATTTACATGTTGTATCCCCCAGAACAATGCACACTCCTTAAAGGTAGAGACTGCTTTTGTATCCACAGTGCCTTGCACTTGGGAGGTGGTATTGAACTGAAATGAATACATGTGCATTTTAGGTATTTATATAGGAACACACACACACACACACACACACACTCATATATCTATATATGAATGTATGTTGTTTGTTGTTCAGTAGTTTCAGTCCTGTCTGACTCTTTGTGACTCCATTTAGGGTTTTCTTGGCAAAGATACTGGAGTGGTTTGCCATTTCCTTCTCCAACTCATTTTACAGTAGAGGAACTGAGGTGAACTGGGTTAAGTGACTTGCCTAGGGTCACAGAACTAGTAAGTGCCTGAGGCTGGATTTGAACTCAGGAAGATTACAATCTAGTTCTAGCTCTGAAGCAAGTGGCTTTACCACTCTGAGCCTCAGTATTGGATCTTTAATGTTGCTTCCACTTCTAACATGCTATGAATTACTAGGGGTTATTTATGCAGTACTAATAACTCATTGCAAGAAGTGTTTCAGCCTTCTCGGGAGGTCAAGCTTGATTAAACTAACTTCTCTGGGCCTTAGTTTCCTCATTTTAGAATTAGTTTAGGTGGTTTGGCTCTAAAATTCTATGATTCTGATCTTGTTTACTAGACTTATTTGTTATATAAACCAGGTGTGAATCAAGATATTGGATGATGACAGTATGTTTATTTAGCTGTTCTTGAACCAATTTCTCAGTAGTTGATATGGTAATAATTTAAAAAAAACTTTCTCCTAAACTTTTAGCATTATGGGCTAAATTGCAGCTACACAAAGCAGAAAAAAATTTTTAAAAGCCCACTTCAAAAGTGGCCACTTTAAAAGCCCCAGTCAACTTTTTGACATGAAGACAAAAGAGTTGTTAAATGCTTTGATTTGATTTCTTAGATGTTTCAGTAACTTTTCACAAGTAGATACTTGGTTGAGACTATTTTTTTAACATTTTATTAATTCGATATGTATTATAGATATTTTGTCTTTAAAATGTAATGCATACATATTTGAAGAACTAGTTTCACATATTTCATTCATAAGAATGCTTTGGCTGTTTTCATACTAAGAAGCAATAAAATCAAAATGAAACAATTACTATAAAGCATTTTCTATTTTATCAAAGAAATGAGAGGTATTTGTTCTTAAATTATAGATAGGAGAGTGAATTTTATTCCAAGGGAAGGTATTAAGTTGATGAAAAATAGATTCCTGCCAACTATCGTGTTTGAAGTTTATTAGCAGTTGTAATCAATTTTAAAGTCAGCTTAACATGAAGGACCTTAAAAAAAAAAAAGAAAGAAAACTTACAGGGGAAAGTTCATGATGTAAAAATAACTCACTTTTATATAGTACTTAAAAGCACTTAAAAACAACCCTATAAGGTGGATGATAGAAATATTTTGTTATTCACATTTTGCCTAAAGCTCAAAAAAGAGTTTTGGGGTGGCAAGAGACTATTTAATTTTACTGGACGAAGGAGACACTAAGCTTAATATTCACCCTAGGAAGCAGGGTCATCAGGCCCTCCCATTTCCAGAGTTTGGATGCAGTGAAAAATGCTGTACACCTTTCATTGGAGAAATAAAACAATGAACTCACTTATGTAGCCTTGGTTTATTCTAATTAAATAACACATGATGCTCCACAGCCGGTTGATCCTTAATTAGAACAAGTTATTGCTGTCTTTGGCTCCTCATACATGATTTTCCAATTCTTCCTGCAAGCACATGTTTTCAGGTCCTCTGTAGTCCTGTGCCAACATAAAGTGTGAGTCTTCCATGGGGAAAGGCTGTACACAGTGGCTCAATCTTTGTGCCTTTATACTTCAGGGATCCTGTTTCAAGGGTACTGTCTCTGGTTTCCTGCTTCTTAATCTCTACTTCGAACTTTCCAACATTTTAACTAATGAGACAAAGCATCCTCTTTTGCCACTATGTCACTTCTAGACTTTTTAATTGAAAGTCTTAAATATCTTTATTGATGAGAGGTGATGGAGCATGTGATCAGTGCATATGTTGAGGAACCACTTGCATGACCTTGCAGATGACATTATATACATACATATAGCCTTGAAATGGGGGAAAGGAAGAGATGGTTGTATAGTGAGGCCACTCAAAATTCACTATACTCAAAATTCAGTAATAAAAGAATTTAGCAAAACTGTCACTATACATGTATGTATTTATGGATATCTATTTATTCTTTATTGAAAACATTTCTGTCTTTAGTTGAAACCTCTTATATAGGTTTACATCTTACAGTTATATCATACATACATAATCAGAACCTGAGGTTGACAACAGTCAGTCACCTGGAGTATAGGAGTTGGGGAACATTTATTAAGTGCCCACTCTTTGCCAGGCACTATGCTGCATACTTTACAAATATCATCTCATTCAATCCTCATGACCCTGGAGGTACACTTATTATCTCCATTTTACAGATGAGGAAACTGAGGTAGCAAAGGTTAAGGGACTTCCCCTCATAGCAAGTGAGCGTCTGAAGTCAAATTTGAACTCAAGTCTTCCTGACTCCAGGCACAGCGCTCTGTCCACTACAGTACAGTACTCTAGGCCACATACAGTCTTGCCTCCAGTACAAGAAATTGTGACATGCTCATTGTCACAGCTAAGAAGGGTCAGAGCTAGGATTCAACCCCAGGTTGACTAGACTTCAGACTTGCCTCTCTTTCCACTATACTTTATTACATCCTTAACATTTGAAAACAGAAATATACTGTAAGGTAACAGTATAATGATTTTTTAAAAAATTAAATAGAAATCCCATGGTTTCCCAATTTAAGTTTAAATTAACATTATTGCAAACAATAGCTTTCATAAAAAAAAATCAAATGTGAGAAAAGCTCCTAAAGAAAACTTAGGAAAGAGACAAGCAGATTGTTTAGTCTAGTACAAGTAGTCATGTAGAAAGGCCCAAAAGTATGAAAATTGTCAAGTACTGTACTTGAATTTTTCATATAGAAAGCTAGAAGAAATGTAGATATTAAGGAAGTACTAAAGATAAAGTGAGACAAGAAATTGTTATCAGGTTCTAGAGCTAGGATGAAGAATTTGTCCTCAGGGAGCCTTGTGGAGCCCTGGGATGATAATGCTCTAGTCTCCTGGCTCCTGCTGTTGCCCAGGGAAGAGCACCAATGCCTGGAGGATTGGGGATTTCATTGGTCTTAGCACGTATTAGAAAGTTGTTTGAGACTTAAATTAAGTGGCTTGATTACAGTCATACAGTGTCAATGGAAGAATTTGCACAGCACTATAACGGAAAAGTGCCACAAAGGATAAGTTCATTTTAATAATCTACTCCAGTTAACCCCTTCTGAGTATAGTGTCCAAACTACTGAACATTAGAGCAGTTAAAAATGTATGAATTCTGGTTAATCAGCTTTCCAAAGAGTAATAAATAATAAACGATAGCAATCTGAAGTCTTAGCCTAATTGAACAGGGTATGACCTCCAAATAACACTCATCCTGAAACCTGATTTTTTCTTCTCTGCTGTCTACACACGTTTCTCCAGCCTTTTTCTTTCCCTCTGTTTCTTTGTGTATATTTCTCCTTCTACGTCTTTGCCACTAACACTCTGTTTTTCTTATTGTGTCCCATATGCCCTCTCTGTCACTTTCCATCCTTCACTTTTTCTTCCCATTATTCTTACTTTCTATCTCTTCCTCTACCTGTTTCTTTGGTTTTTTCCTATACTGTATAACCTCTCTATCTGCCTCATTTATTTTGTATCCCCACAAGGATGGAATGTAAGCTTCTTAAAGACAGGCATTGTCAAACTTTTGTATTTATACTCCCATTGATTACCACATTGCCTGGCCCATAGTAGATACTTAATAAATGCTTGTTAAGATATTCATTCATCTCTACTGATAATTATTAAGTGTCAATTTTGTGCATTGTAGGTTGGGAGAGATACAGATATTCAAGTATGGTTCAAATATAAGGTTTTTTAGAATGTAGGCCATATCACTAAAATGAATCTTTTTTAAAAAATGAAGTGAATTCTCTTTAAAAGAAAAAAATAAGTGTACTTATTTCAGTACTTCAACGATCTGCTATTTTCCATCTTAGTGATCTCGGGCAAGTTACTTAGCTTTGTAGGGCCCTAATTCTTCATCTATGAAATGAGAGGTTGAACTAGATGGCCTCTAAGGGCTCTTCCAGGTCTAAATCTATGAATGTGATTTTATTGGTGTAGATTAGCCAATAGAGATTACAACCCTCTCTGCTCTTTATTTAGTAAATTGTCTTCTTGAGTTGCTGTGCCTATAAAAGTTATCACCTTACCCCCAACTCTTTGATGAAGAGCCTCCAAATTTAGGCTAATCCTCCAATTAAAGACTCAGTCTGTTATAGTCAAAGCCCTTCTAGCTAAATAGGACCTTCTAGAACTTGCACTGCTTGTACAGCGTTTGAGAACTCTTGATGAGGCATTGGTGTAAGATTTTAGTAGAACACAGAGGCAGATATATATTGAAAAATTTTTGCTACAGTATTCTAGTTTAGATACATGGTACTTAGAAATTCAGTAGACTTTTGTCACTCAGGAGAAAGCTAATACCATTAAGTTATGCTCATTTTCTCTTACAGCTTCCCCTCTTCCTCTGCTCTTTTAGATAGCCCCTTACTCATTTGCAAAGCTTGTAAACCCCACTCTTCTGTGTATCTATCTGTTCTTCTTCCTACCCCTGCCTATTTGACCACCACATCTGCAGCTACAAGAAGATCCCATTAAAATTGCAAGCTCTTGGGAGATCTCCTCCCTTCATCCATTTCAGCCTAGAGGAGAGTTCACAAGATCCTTGATTTTGAGGTACGAAGGGCAGAGATTCTAGCAGTCCCCAAAAGCATGCAAAGACAGAAGAGATAGGTCTCCCTTACCTTTTAGCATGAACAACCAGAGCATCTGACACAGGCTTCCCTAGCTAATGTATGCTGCTGAGGAAGTAGTTGCTATGGTTTCCACTGCTGCTGGGAAACCAAGAAGGATTAAGCTGTATCTTCACCACTAAAAGCTCGATTATAAGCTACAGTCAAGTTTTCTAAGTGCCAGATTAAGTATGAAAATATGGTTTGGATTTGGGTCTGTCTTAAGGCCAATGTAATAGGAAGCAATGTTATATCTTTAAGGATATACTTTCTCCTCTTTTCTTTCTCCCTTGATCTCATTGATTTTATTATGATTACTACTAGTAATAGTAACTCAATCTAATAAACATTAAGTACCTGGTATGTGCAACCCACTATTATAATTTTAACCTCAGAAGATCTATGAGTTCCAGCTGTTGGCTTCTGGACTTTTTTTTAACCCAAATGGAAGATTCTATAGTTATCCCTATTAAATGTCCTCTTACTCAATTCAGGCCAGTGTTCTAACCTATCAAGTTCCTTTTGGATCCTGAATCTCATCTACTGTGTTAATTATCCTTTCTGGCATTGTGTCATCTGCAAATTTGAGAAGCTTGTCATGTATGCCTTTCTCTAAATCTGTTAAAGTTCAATGCAGAGTGCAAATACCTGGGCCACTCCACTAGAGACCTTAAAAACTGACATCAAACCATTAAATGATTACTATTTGGCTCCAGCCACTCGACCAGTTCTAAATTTACCTATCTACACTATTATCTAATCTATATCTTTCCATCTTATCCATAAGAATAACAACACGAATGCCATGTTCAAATGTCATTTTGAAATCTAGGCATACTAGGAATACAGCATCTCCCAGTTTACCTAGTCTAGTAACAATTTTAGCTTAGGAGGGAACTCTACCATATGTCCTGAAAGGTGACAGACATTCTCCCTTGGAATTCTTCCTTTTGGTCAACTCTTTTAGCTGGGCAATTTGAACAAAGTCTAGAGTTGGATTCCAGTCACATCCACCAGTGATATAGCAACCTCTTCTGAGAAGAAAATATAAAGGGGCCACAGTGGAAATGTCATTTCCCCTCTTCATTTCTATAGTTTTCTCCTAGGCTCAAGAGGGAGAATAGAGCCCACTGGGTGCCATCTTTAGTTTTGTATATCCTCTGTTGCTCCACACAAAGGATCATAGGATCATGCATTAAAAGATGGAAGGAACCTTACAGGCTGACTCTAATCTTCATACTTTACAGATGAGGAAGTTGAGGCACAGAGAGGTCAAGTGACTTGTCAAGGGTCACACATCTGATAATGTTTGAATCAGGATTTGAACTCAGGTCCTCCTGACTCCAAGTCATATGATTTTATATAGAAAGAATCCCCATCTATATCCTCCTCCCCAGCTCCCTTCCTCCACCAAAAAAATATTAGCTCCTGATGCTTGACCAGAGAAAGAGTGTAATTTGTTTGTGGAAAGGAGAGAGATAGTTAAGTGAACCCTGAACCAAGATGTCTCCTGCCTATTCAGTACAAATTAATGGGGGAAATGAAGATGGGATAGAGGAGAACTTCTCTTTTTATAACCAGTTTGAGCCCTCTCCCAAAAACAGTCCAAAGGAAGGAATATCAGGACAGACAAGCCAATAGAATGACCATTCAGTCAGAGGAGGAAGAGTATAGTGGACCCTAAACCATCAGAGACATCAGATTTGCCATGGTTTACTTTGCTGAACCATGTCTCTGAACTTGAGACCTACCTATTCTGTAATTATTCTACTTCCTCTTCCATCCCAAAGGTTTTTCCTACCTATTTACAACTCAGATCTTTAAAGCTTCTGACTAAAACCTTCCCTCCTACTTAGTGATTCCTTTGAGAAGTAAGACAAGCCCACGCAAACCATGTGTTTGCTCTCTCACTCCATTTCATTATAAGCCACACAGACAAAACTGTTTGGGGAAAGATATATTTAAACATATTAAATTGCATAGTTTTGTTCCCTTAGCATAGTGTAAGATTCTTTGCCTTAATTCAAATTTTTTTAGGTACAATAATGAATCATAAACTAACTGGAAAAGAAGGCAACAGCTATTTTTTTTTTACCATCCTTCTAGATGAAAATAATTTTTCAAATTTGATCAAAGATTTTCTGATAATGGAAATGACTGTTAATAATAACTGAACTGATACCAGTATGGTCCTTATGATGTTGGTCTAATATCTACTGGTGGTAAGATTCCTTAGGAACGTGGCAATTTATTTAAATAAGGCTAAACTACATGTCTGACTTTAAGATTCAGGGAGTTGAAGGGTTGTTCTGCCTCTAGAATTCACAGTACCAGGATCTCTTGCCAAAGAGGGAAGCAGGTAGAGAGTAAATTTTGTAAGGTATCCTAATAGTCTTTGTTTGGGCTCAATTGTACCTAGTTGTGAAATTATTTATCATTAACTTGATATATATTTATTCATGGAAGATCATGGCAGTATTGAAAGATCATGGCAAAATTTGGTTGCCCAGAGAAGTTCATCAGTATTGTAGGTCATTTTCATGATGGCATGTTTGCATGAGTTCTGGATAATGGACAATGCTTTTGTGCTTTCCCACTCGCCAGTGGAGTGAAGCAGGGCTGTGTGCTTGCTCCCATGCTTTTTAGCTTGACATTTTCAATGGTGTTGTGGGACATCTTCAACAAGGATGAAAATGGCATCAAGGTCAGCTAGTGCACTGATGGTAAATTATTTAACTTGAAAAGGACACAGGCCAAGACTAAGGTAGAGGGGAGAGTTGGTGTATGACTTTTTATTTACAGATAATTGTACCCTCAATGCAACCTCTGAGGCTGAGATATAACAAAGAATAGATTGATTCTCTGCTGCCTGTTCTAATTTTGGCCTGACAATTAATACCAAGAAAAGAGGTTTTCTACCAGCCAGCACCACACCATCTATGCATGGAACCATCAGTTACAGCAAATGGATAAATTTTGAATGTTCTGGATAAGTTCACTTACCTTGGCAGTATACTTTCCAGAGATGTACATATAAATGATGAGGTGATGCACACATTGCTTGAGCTAACTCAGTGTTTGGGAGGCCATGAAGGAAAGTGTGGGAGAGAGGAAGTATTATAATGGCAGCCTACCAAATTGAGGGTCTACAAGTTGTCTTGATGACCTCCTTATTGTATGTCCGTGAAATCTGGACAGTGTGCTAGCACCATGCCAGGAAACTGAATTGCTTCCATTTGAATTGTCTTAGGGAGATTCTGAAGATCACCTGGCAAGATATGGTAACAGACACTGAGCTCTTTCTCAAACTGAACTGCCAAACATTCAAACTCTACTTCAAAGAGTGCAACTCTGATGGGCTGGCATGTTTGAAGGCCAAATGTATGTTTACCCAAAAGACTATTTTATGGAGACCTCACACAAGGCAAATGCTCCCATGGAGGTCAGAAGAAGCAATACAAGGACATTTTCAAGGTCTCTCTGAAGAAGTTTGGAGATAATTGTGAGACGTGGGAGACACTGGCACAGGACTGCCCAGCATGGAGTGCCCACATCAAATAAGGCATTGTGCTCTATGAATAAAGCAGAAATGCAGTAGCTCAAAAGAAACATGAAGTGTGCAACTTTAGAGACATCTCAACTTCAAATGTTCATATGTGCCTGACCTGTGGTGGAGCTCATATTTGCTGATCAGCCACAGTCAAACACATTGCACCTTGACCCCAACATAGTGATGTCATTTTGGTCCTCTTTGAACACAAAGGACAACTAACCAATCACAAGGTTGTTTCTTAGTTAACAACTAAGGGCAGCTAAGTCATTTTTACCTTCTTTGGTCTTTACCTATCAAGTTCATCTGGGAGATTTTTAAGTATTTTCTTTAACAACTAATTCCTTCAGATTAGTTTATTCAGTGTTTAAATATTTTGTTGCCTTTTATTTTTTATATCAGAATCATTAAGGACTAGAAGGATAAGCTAATTGTTCTTCCTTATAATCTCCTTCATTCTACAACTGACATTACTAGATTCAGTGAATCATTGAATCACAATTCAAATTTGAATTAGGGATTCCGCTTAGTTCAACAAATTTATTAAGCCCCTAACACGTGCAAAGTTCTATGCTAGGCTCTGAAGATAAGTATAGGAGATAGTACCTGAGTTCAGCCTGGCAGGAAGATATATGGCAGTGATGAGGAGTGAGAGCATTCCTGCCATGGGGGTCAGCTTCTACAAAAATACAGAGTTAGGAGATGGAATGCCAAGGTTCAGGGAATGGCAAGTAGGTCAACATTGTTGGATTGTAAAGTGCATGAAGGGGATTGATATGAAATAGGTCTAGAAAGATAAATGGGAGCCAGGTTGTGGGAAGCTTTAAATGCCAAGCTGAGGCATTTATATTTTATCCTGGAGGTAAGAGGGAGCCATTGAGGATTTTTGAGTAGTGGGGTGATATGGTCAGACCTGGACCTTGGGAAAGTTATTTTGGCAGCTTTGTAGAGAATGAAATGTGTTACCTTTGAAAATTAAGGTAAACTGAGAGACAGTGGCCTAAGCATGATCAATTTATTAGGTAGTCTAGTAGCAGTTAGGTGTCACAGTGGATAGAGTGAGTGCCAGGCCTAGAATAATGTCTAGTAGCAGTTAGGTGTCACAGTGGATAGAGTGAGTGCCAGGCCTAGAATAATGAAGATGTGAGTTCATATCCAGCCTCACACATTTACTAGCTGTGTGATCCTGGGAAAGTCACTTAACCTTCTTTGCCTCAGTTTCCTCATGTGTAAAATGAACTGGAAAACCACTGTAGTCTCTTTGCCAAGAAAACCCCAAATGGGGTCACTAAGATTGGTCAGGTAGTAGGTGACATTACAAAGGTAGACAATATAGGGGTGGAGATTCAATTGCTATAATACCTTTTCTGGGTCATTTCCCTAACTTATCACTCGGTTATTTATAGATTGGTTCCCCAAGGGAAAACTAGTGCTCTTTTGGGTTCAAAAGATAGCCTGGGGGTCCACACTCCTAAAACTACAGCTCAAGAGCTCCTACCAATGAGCTTACGATTAATAAACAGCCATTGAGTACAAGTAACTCAAAACAAAGGCATTTATTAAAATGGAATAAAAAAAGTAGCTAGAGTATTTTCCCCACCTCCTAAATCTGAGGCTCACTTTGCAAAGGATAACAGGGCATATAGACTGATCTTTTCCCTTAGGTTAACATGTTTCTGTCCTTTGCCCCTTACTTTCTGTGATTACATAAAGTGAGTGGCAGGGGAACCACAAAAATTGCTAAGTCAGACTGTAAGAAGCTAGCAGGAAGTGAGGAAGTAGAGGTAGCAGAGTATACAGATTATTCTTATGAGCAGTTTGTCAGGGAAAAAGAAAAGAAATGTTAAGATGAGGCCTGGAGAGGATGACAGAGTCCAGTGGAGATTTTGTTTTTTTAAAACAGGTTAAGACCTGGGGATGTTTGCAGGGAGCAAATAAGGACCCTACCTATAGATAAGGAGAGATTAAAGTTGAGAGAATATTGGAGAGGTAAACTCCAGGAAAAGATGGGAAGGGTTTGGGATAAAGGAAACAAATAAAGGGGCTTTAACAAAGAGAAAGAGATGGGTAAAGAGGTTTTCACATATGAAATAGGAGAGCAGTTGCTTGCAGCAAGAGAGCCTGCTTTTCTCAGCCAAGTTGGAGTTAAGGATATCTGTTGAGAGAAAAAGAGAATGTTATATAGGAAGCTTGAGAAGTTTGCAATAGGCCCTGTGATAATGCTGTTTATGCTTTTTATTCAAACAGGATTGGCAAATGACATCTCCATGTAAGTAAGTTAAAGCAGAAGTTGCTTAATTGTCTGGTAAATTTGGGCTAGTTAAGTAATTCAGATGAAAGTGAAATGTGTGGCCTGTGCTATGGATTGAATGTGTATATTCCTCAAATCTACCAGAATATTATGCAGATGTCAGCTCCACTTTGGCTGGGTGCTGTGTCCACAGTTTTTCTAAACTGCCTGCTTTGTTATGCTAAGATATGTCATTCCATTCTGTTCCTGAAGCAGCCCTAACAAATAGAAACCAAGGGGAGAACCCAGTGTCCTGAGTAGGGCATCTGAGCATTAGCCACATGACTTCCCCTACCTCCAACTTCACTACATGCAGAAGTACTCAACTCACATTCCAGAAGTTTCCAACAAAGTGAAGGCATACTACTTAGGGGCCCAGGGGGCTTCCTTTTACCCTGTTCCAACTTCACTGCTATTGCCTCTCTTTCCACAAATTCCTTCTCCCGTAATTGCCAGTCCCTCCCCTTTCCTTGTTTTCATTCTGCTCAAATAAACCACATAAATGTCCTTTGGATACAGGGTTAGAAGCAGTTACTTACAGGGCTGTATCCCGTCCCAGCCCCAATGTGTGGAGGCAGCATCTAGAGTAGGAAAATTTCTGAAAGTAGGTCAGCCATGTCTTGTTCCCAGCTCTGGTAATAAGGTATCTGTAATGGATTTCTGTTTATTGTACACACACACAGAGATACAATCTATACTGTGCTATGATTTTATCCTAATATAGTCCCTATGTCTTTCCAAAATTAAAAATCTTAACAAAATATTGGTCTGGCTGCTGTGTAAGTTATAGCTGTGTCTAAGGTGCAAATATCTAATGATGTTTTTCAGTTGTAAAAAGTATGCTTTTTAAAGTTGCTCTGATGGAAGGTTATTATTTTTTTTTTTTACAGACTGTGGTCAATAGACTTAAAGCTTTCAGTTTCATGAAAAAAGTCTTAACTAGTTTTTCTAAAAAACTATAGATCTGCCTAGATATACATAGAGATATTATGATACAAAATATCAAGTTACATTTTAACACAAAATTAAAACACCACTGTCTTATTCACAGTCTGCTGAAGAGGATGAAAAGATCTTTCTTGATTGTAAAAGGGTGCCATGATTTAGCAATTCTTGATCTCTCCCTCCCCCTAAAAAACCTAACCCCGTACTTTGGTTTGTGCCTTTCTACAGACACTCTGAAATACAAATGGGGATTAGAAAGAAGCACGAGTAATGGGGAGAAACTAGAGGATTTTCTTCCCTACATAGCAGAACAAAGGGTTTGTGATCCAAGGGCTCTGACAGAAATTGCAGGGAGTACATTAAAATTTGGTGTTTCTGAAGAGTTCTACCTGCCTTATAGCAAGAATTTGGCAGCTTGGGTATGCAGTTAACTTCTACCCTTATAGTGACAAATTAATTTTTTAAAACTTTTATCTTATTTTATCTTTATTTTATAAATGAGAAACTGAGGCCACTAGCATTGTGTCCCTTTGTTTATTTTGCACCATCCCTTTTTAAGAAGATAGAACCCTTCTTGGTCACTCCTGTTATCTTGACATACTACTTAGGACAAGTTCTGCCTTAAGGAATAAGTAAGGTAATTTTTATGCCCCAGTTTCTCTGTATGTCAGCCTCTGATACCTACCTATGTCTAATTTTACACTAATGGGGTTAAAAAGAAAAAGAGAGTTGGTGGTTTTGAAGTTAGCTAATATTTATGAAATGCCTGTTATGTGCCAGTCACTGTGCTAAGTGCAGTAGATGCAAAGAAAGGTAAAAGACAGTCCCTGCTTTCGAGGAGCTCACAGTCTACTGAGATGACATGAAAACAGCTATGAACAAACAACTTATATACAGGATAAGTTGGAGATAACACAGAGAGGGCACTAAAATCAAGGAGGAATCAGGGAAGGCTTCCTTTAGAAGGTGGGATTTTTACCTAGGACTTGAAGGAAGCCAGGGAAGCCAAAAGATGGTGTTGAAAGAGAGAGCATTCCAGCCATGGGGGACAGCAAAATAAAATGCCTAAAGCCTAGAGATGGAGTGTCTTGTTTGAGGAACAGCAAAGAGGCCAGCATCACTAGATTGTAGGGTATGTGGGAGGGTGTAAGGTGTAAGAAGACTGGAAAGGTAAGAGGGAGCAGTATATGAAGAGCTTTGAAGGCCAAACAGGGGATTTTATTTTTGATTCTGGAGGTGATAGGGAGCCATTGGAGTTTATTAAGAGTAGGGAAACATGATTAGACCTCTGTTTTAAGATCACTTTGATGAATGAAGGACAGACTGAAATGAGGAAAGTTGAGGCAGGGAGACCCATTTGCAGGCTTTCACAGGAGACTAGCAGTTGAGGTATAAGGGCTTGCACCAGAGTGGTGGCACCCTGTCAAAGGAGAAGTGAATTTGGATTATTCATCTTGGTCTTTCTAGTTCAAGTTAAGAAAAACAGGCAATCTGAAGTGAAATTACTATGAAAGTGCTTATTATTAAGAATCTGTCTTGCTGCTTACTACTTCAAAATTCTGTCAGTTCACAACTAACTCACCTACTTTTTTACCTCATAGAATGTTTTTCTTTAGTTGAACTGACCCATCTTTGATGACTAAATTCCCACTCACCCTGCTTGTACCATTTCCCAGCTTTGACATCAGTGCTGCATTTCTTCACACAAACACATTACCCTGTTTGGAAATGCAAAGAAAGAAAAATGTTTTGCTTACAAGTTTCTATTCATTTTTCAGATCAATAACTCGATCTTATTACCGCAACTCAGTTGGTGGATTTCTGGTATTTGACATCACAAACCGGAGATCTTTTGAACATGTGCGAGATTGGTTAGAAGAAGCCAAAATGTATGTGCAGCCATTTCGGATTGTATTTCTATTAGTGGGACATAAATGTGACCTTGTGTCACAGCGTCAAGTTTCAAGGGAAGAAGCTGAAAAAATGTCAGCAGCCTGTGGTATGAAGTATATAGAAACCTCAGCAAAAGATGCTACAAATGTTGAAGAATCTTTCACAATCCTGACAAGAGATATATATGAACTTATTAAAAAAGGAGAAATTTGCATTCAAGATGGTTGGGAAGGGGTTAAAAGTGGCTTTGTTCCAAATATTGTGCATTCTTCAGAAGAAGCAGTAAAGCCTATGAAACAATGTCTTTGCTGAATTCAGAAGCAGCTCCAAAATGGGTATGAGTAGATCAGGTATTTGTTTTAAGACAAATACCAACATTAAAAGCAAAGTGATAGTTATGGAAGCATAAAAATCATTGATTTGTCTGGGTCACTAATCATTGTTTTTGCATCCTTTTATAAGATATTTAATTTAAAATACTAAAGCAGTAATATAGTTAAAGCAGAAAATATATTATTTTGAAGACATTAATATTTGTAAACAAAAGTGCAATATTTACTTAGCAAGTTAACATATCAAAGATTTTGACTAGGACTAAAGTCCATTTTCAAGGGACCAGATTTTTCATGCATTCCTATGTCTTAACAAGTATTGAATGTGAAAAAATTACATATTATATTAATATTATTTTCCTTTATTGGTTCACTGCTTCTGAAATAAAGTTTTTATGTTTTATAGAGACAGTTGAGATTACAGTCAGTATATTATATTCCCAATAACTTTAAAGAAAGGAAATTAAAGAATTACTCATAAGCAAACATTTTGATATAATAATGATAATAATATGTTTTAAACTTCCCCACATTTTTGAAATCATAGATCTACCTGGAAATTTCAAAGAGAGGAAATTCAATTGATCCAGATCCAGTTTGTTTTCTGACTTTTCAGTGCAAATAAATCTGAGAGGCAGTATTGCGGAATGGCTCGAGAACTAGCCTGGGAATCAGGAGAACTTAAGAGTCAAGTCTTGCCTCTGATATATACTACTGGCTGTGTGATCCTGAGCAAGTCATTTAATTTCTTAATGTACTCAGTAACTGTTCTAAAAACTAAAAACTGCAGAGAAACTAGCAATCTGCATTGAGAGAGGAAGTTCTTACTAGGAACTACCTAGACTGGTGAAGTACAATTTAAAACAAAAAGAAATGAAATATAAAATATTTTGGTCATAAGTTCTAGTTGAGTGAACTTTTAAGCTTAAAAAATATTTATTATTAGGTCCAAGAAGACTTCATTTCTTCAACAAGGATGTAGAAAGGGTATTCTAATAAAATACTGTATCAATATTGCAGAGTAATTTGTAGAAAAGGAAACTGTTTAAAACATTTGCCATTCAAACCTTCCAATATCATTAGTGAAAGTTGCAGGAATTTTGATGTGTATATGTGTGTAAACACACACAAACACACACATGCGAAACAGTTACTTGTCTTCTTGTAGCTCATTTCCAATAATTGCATTTTAATCAGAATTAGAAATTTTTTACTTTACTGCATTTTTACAACCATTTATATAGTTAACTAGAAAGCAGTGACAAGTAAATATTATTTCTTCTAGCAATCTTAATTGCATTATTGTTAAATCACAAGTTATTTTGTATATTAAGTACTTCTGTGCATATCATCAAAAAAGTTGAGAATCATGTTTTCTCGTTTTTTTTTCCCCAATCCCTTCTTCCTCTGCCTTCTCTTTCCTATAGAAAGTCCTTATTGGTAACTCTTATTGAGTTTCATATAATTAAAGAATTCCTTGGCACTGAGCTGCCCCTCTGACTCAGCCTTCCTGTATTGAAAAACTGCTTCTTAGTAGTAGAAGTGATTGGCAGAAAAAGCCAAGAGAACTTCAGGTTAATTAGAAGCCCTGGCTGGAACATGGTATTTAAATCATTGAACCACTTGACTAAATTATTGCATGTCTTCATCTTTAAAAGTTTTCTTAAGACCACAACAGGGATTTTTCTGACAATAACTTTTTCTGAACAATTCCACTGGGGATCTTCCCAACTAGTTTCCATCTTGTCAGTGTATCAATTAAGAGGGACTGACACCCATTAACAGACTCTATTATGGTGAATTATCAAGCAAAAGATAGCTTTTTTTCTAGGCCAAATTATCTAGATAATTGTCTCAATTATCTATTCCTCTTTGCTAGTACAGATATAGTATATAAATGTATTGATACTAATTCATTTTTCTTTAGAGGTTGAGGTTTTTTTTTCCTGTCTTCAAGATCTGTATTTATGTATTTGTACATACTTTGTACATTTTCTAGGCCTGGTTAAGTATTCTTTTTCTAAGGGCTTATAGAGAGAAAGGAACATGAATTAAAATATAACAAAATATTTTGAAAATCTCTCTACATTCCATTGATATGTATGAATTAATTATGGTTGAAGATATGCTTTGACCACTTACAAAAGTGAACACTTAAGAAAAATACAAGACCAGAAAAATGGAAAGTAAATATAGTTCAATTTATTTTGAATATTATGTGATTTTAATTGTATATTCAAGTAATTTACTTGGGACAAATTCATATATTGACTCTCTATCCACATTTGAAATTGATGATGTCATCTCAGTGTACACTGCAGAGGTCTAAGTTTCCTTAGATAAGCAGCCAAAATACCAAAGTGCTTTTGATATATAGTAGAACACATATATAATACTGACTTAGAACTGGATTAATGGCTATGATGTAGGATTACATTTAGAACAGAAACACAAGCTCTAATCTTTGAGAACATCTAATCCAACAGATAACGGAACCAAGGCCTTGACAGTTCAAGTGCCTTGTTCAGGCTCACACATGGTTGTTAGTTAGTAGCAAAGCCTGGATAAAATCCAGTGGTGGAAAGTACCCTTTGATTCTACCATGCTGTTTCTTGTGGGATGGGATGTGGCACATGATATATCTGCAACTGTGCAAATGACAAGCAGGTTAGAATAGGGTGAAATTATATGTTGATATAAAAGGGGAACACTTACAGTCAAACAGTAATATACAATATAATCTAAAGAAAAGAACTGAGAATTCCAGTTCTAATTCACTTCTACATGAGATAAGCCTAATAAACTTAGTTGTGTGGAAAATGCTGTTTTCTTAAATAACATTAGTATGAATGTGGTCAGTAGGGTCATGCCAGAGAATCTTTCTGGTTCAGAAAAATTACTTTGCCTAGTGGTTTCTTGGAAGTCAGCCATTTCATTTAAAAAAAAATTTAAATGATGACATCTGATTACTAAATGTCATAGATCAACAAGAAAGGAAAGAAGAAAGGAAGGAAGGGAAAGATAGATATTCTGGTATTACCTATGTAATAGGTACACTTCCTGAGAAATAACTGCTTATATGGTGATACATTAACTCAGACCACTGTGGTAGCATTTAATGATGTAACAATTTATTAAATGGTATATTTGAGCCAAAATGATTATACATTGCTGTAAAGATTTGTAAATATGGCCCTTAAAAATCTATATGCATACTTAATAGCCAGAAATGTTTCTTAAACTTCTCAAAAAAACTTAACAATTCAAAACTTCTTATAAACATATTGTATGGTTTCAGAAAACCTTTTACTTCAAGCATGCCCTGAATGGACTTCATTTTGGGAGGGGAAGTGAATGCTTTTCTATTTGGGTTAAAATAGCACGTTCCTAAAACAAAGACTTCATCTACTAGACCTTTGAGTAATTATAATATCAAAGGTTTGAATTCACAAGACTAGCAGTTTGACAAGAGGTTTGTTGTTGTTTTTTGTTTTTTTTATTCCAGCTTTCATAGTGCTTTTGGAACACATTCAACTACAGACTCCCCATTTACTTGAAACTGTGCACTATATTGAGCTGATATCTGAGTGTATGAAGTAAGATGTTGCAAGCCTATAACAGTCATACACCAGTACATATCCTGGCTTTTTATTAACAAAGAACTGTGCCTTCAGTTGTTTAGTTATACAGAGGGCATATGCAAGCTTGAGGCATATGCAGTATGCAGGCTACTTTAACCACTATAGAGTTAGGTCCTACTATTTTAAAATAATGAAATGCGGTACCAACTATAAACCTATTGGCGTGAAACTTCACATATATAAGCTGTCTCCTCTTCTTCAAAAACCTCCTCAAAATTAAGTTCATTCCAGAAACCTTCACTTATTAAGTGGAAGTGAGCTGCAACTCTCCATTGGACCCTAAAATAACTAGCAAACCACACCTCTGAGCCCAAAAGAAAATGCCAGAAGAATAAACTGTATCATGACTGATATTTTCTTTTCAACAGTCTTAATTGCTACAGAACAACATGACTGATTCAGCTATGACAATCAATACTGATAATGAACCAGACAGAAAAGAATAAATTACCCACATGAAAGGAAAAGAACTAGAATACAGAATAATTAAAAATATTAGCCTTCTTGTTTGTTTGATCTCTGTTAGATTATAAGGAGAATTCATGTCTTCTCTTGAATAGTGCCTAGGATAGTGTCTTCCACGTATAGACACTGAGTTAATGTTTGATCTTAATGATTTTGAACCAACACTATGAAATTCAGTTTCCACAGATTCAGTTTTCATCGCAGATATCCTGTAATAAAAGATGTTTTGCTATAGCTAAATTTTAGCATTTTTGGAAGATGATAGTTGACTGAAGAAAATTGCTAAGAGAACATATGGTATTAAACCTCTTTGAAATGTGTTGTAAATGTTATTTGTAAAAAAAAGTTAATAAAAAGAATGTGAAGAAATCTTGTCAGAGGACTATT